GGGGGCATACTACTCATACACACTCACGCACGCACGTACACGCACGCGAGAGAGCGAGTGCAAGCACACACAGACACAAACAAGCAGACGCACTCACAAATACACACATAATACTGTAATAATTAGAAATGATTTGCATTTATGAAGTGCATGTCCACGCTCTTCAGCATACTCTGAGCAATTTACAACTAATAAAACATAAACATACACGAGGGGCAATCTTAAAGTAACGAAGGTTTTTCTCGCTATTTTGCACAATTGTACATCAGATTTTATGAAATTCAGCTCACAAACACTCGCCCATGTACTTTTAAACTCTAATTTAAAATTAAATTTTCTTTTATTTTAGCGTGAATGGAGTCACATCAAAATGGCTACCCCCTCGGAGGTCTGTCAAAAGCAAAGAGCTGTGATTGAATGTCTTATTTTAGAAAAGGAATCTACGTGTAACACCCAAAAGAGACAGCCAAATATTTACAAGGACCAAGCTTTAGATTTTGGCACAGTAGGCCATATAGTATATAGATGGGTCAGACGTATGAGCAATGGACCGGAGGAAGAGGTGTCTAATGCTTCTCAGACAAGCATCGTCTAAAAAAAAAAATTAGCCAGAAAAGTCATGACAACCGTGCTTTGGGATATTCATAGCGTGCTTCTCAGAGATTTTTTTAACCGCTAGGACCAACTGTCAATTCTGAAGCCAACACTGGAACGGCTGAAAGTCCGGAATTCGACGAGTCATCCCATTGACCATGGAAAGAGTGTTGTTTCACCAGGACTATGCCCACCTGCATACGCGAGTTCCAGAACAAGATAGACAATTACTCCTTTGGAGTCAAGGCGGATTTATAACTTCTTTGATTGAGATGGTAATCACTGCCACATCCAACTTATTCTCCTGATTTGGCCTTTTCAGACTTTCACCTTTTCGGTCGCAGGAAAAAAACTTTGAGAGGTAAGCAATGGAAAAGAAGGAGAAATCAAGACTTATGTGGGAAAAATGGCTTAAAGTTAAAGACCAACCTGCTCAGTTTTACAAAGGTGGCATACGGGGACTTAGTAAAAGGTGAAGGACTACGAGACTATGTTGACAGAAATTTGATCAGCAGATGATCCCCTTCAATTTTAGGCACGATAGTTGAAACTGTTTTTTTGTTTAAGTTATAAAGGAACTTGCATTACTTTTTGACTCCCCCGCGTATATATATATATATAACACATAATACTATAT